CACAACGTCGACATCCTCTGCTGCAAGAATCAGAACAAACTGTGAGAGCAGGCCAGGAGCGTATGATGCAGCCTTCCTATAGCAGCAGGATCACCTTACTTAACTGAGATTGCCTTCTTTTTTATACAGTCACAAGCTAAACCAGTAGGAACTTAATTAAATCTAATATACCAGAGGCAACATTTAAAGCATAAATGCTGATTTGACTCGAAACTAAAGATTTTGTTTCTTGTTTGTTTTTGTAAAATGTAGGTAATGTATAAAAGACCACTAGTAGCGTTAATGCCTCATTATTAACACTATAATATTGTGTCTTCTTAGAATGACAAGTTGAGTCAAGAACTCTGAAGCATTAGGAGGATTTTGAACATCAAAATGAGATGAAAGCATATATAAATATGTAGTTAACACATAGAAAGAGCAGGCAAGAGATTAAAGACTGACTTTACCAAGCAGCAAAGTGAAGGCTGCATATGGAGAGCCCAGCTTGGAGCGTTCGACCCCAGTCCACCGGACTTCCATGGCAGCTGGCTCCATCTCACTTTGGTACTGCAATCACTTCAGCCCAACTCTGTTTTCCAGATGTGTGGGATAAAATTTGGAGGCTGGAATCCTCCCCCCCCTCCCCTAAAACAGGGATGCTATGGTCTTGAAGTCTCTTGGAAACCTTCAAATGCACTCATGTGGAAAACGCTGCTGCAGTTTAGACAGAGGGCAGCAGAGAAAGAAAAGAAATAGGTGAGGAGATGTGGAAGAAATTAAAAAGACTCGTCAGTGCACTGTCAAAACTTTTTCTGCATCACAAAAAAATCAAAACGCTACTCAATAAAATAAAAGCTACTTTAAAAAAAATAAATAAATAAAAAACATACAGTACAGTTGAATTTTTTCTTTTTTGCCTACCTGCTCCTGTGGCCCGGCGACTGGCTTCACAGCTGAGTCAGTGTGGGACGGGACGGAAGCAGAGCGGCAAACTCTCACTGCGCAGAGTCAGGGTTCACACAAGGAGAATCTGCCAACCAGCACTTTCACTGCAGAGACAGCCACATTGCAGCGCCAGCCAGGAGGAGAGACAACCGGCTGGGAGACGGAGAGGGAGACGGGCAGGAAGGCAAACGGCAGCGCAGACACGCAGAGGGAACACGGTGTTTCAGCCGCACTCAGCAGAACCCCAGCGAGCTGAATTCTTCCCAGGATCGTCCCTCCAGATGTTTCACAACTTTTCTCTGTTTTTTTTTTGTTTTGTTTTTTTTTGCTTGTCATCTCTTGCTGGCTGCATGCCAGACCTCCTCACTTCTTTTTCCCCCACTTGGTCACCTGCCTCCACATCCTTCTCATAGTTCATTCCTCCCTCCCCATACCGCTCCCACCCACTGCCTCCAAACCCTCCTCCCCATTGTCAGGTCTGGGGTGTGTGTGTGTGTGTGTGTGTGTGTGTGCAGACTCCAGCACCCTTGGCTGAGCGTTGTGAAGATCAGAGGAAAGTTCTGTAGTGCTGACTGAGGAGGAGGGTGTGTGGTTCTGCTTCAGGGCCTGGGCTGGGACGCACCGCCATTCATAAATATGGAGGCTTTCATTCTTATTTTAGAGAATTACAGCAAAAGAGTAAAAACAGTAGATAGGGTATTTAGTTTTCTCCCTCTTTCATGATACAGACTTTCTTTTGAGAACACTTTTGTTTGTCTGCAGCTTTGTACATTTTGTTAATGATAAAAAGTATTTGTTAAGTCATTGGTATCAGTTAATTATGCCAGGACAGCTCCTTTTCCAATTGGGTAAATTCACCATTCTTTCAGTTAGCAACATCTGAATACTGAAAGACTGATCAATTTAAAGATAGGATTCTGTGAAAGTCAATATTGGGAAATGTTTCAATTGGAAATATGGATATGATTTTGGCTTTTTTTTTTTTTTTTACTCGAGAGATGGGCTTTACTGAATAAAAGTTATGGATCTGTTTGCAACTTGGTCTAAACCTATTTCACATTTGTAGAGAACCTACAAAAGTTTCAGTGCTTTGCAAAAGCTTCAATATATACATTTTTTCTTTTTTTTTTATGCAATTTTTGGTTGACGTCTTTTTTTTGTATTCAGCATAAATAAAAATCCTAAAAGGATTGTATACAAATCTTTTGACAAGGCTGTCAATATAATCTAAAAGAAAAGATACATGAGGAGAGATTATAAAATTTTCCATTTCACGGCTAGGACAAAAGTCACATGGCTTCTCCCGGATTCAAGCTTTCGCTGCCAGTCTGAGTCTCTTCTCTAATAACTCACAGTAAACTTTCCCAGGAAGGCTGAAAAATGTGACACCCCCGTCACTGGAGCACACCTTCTCTCTAAAATGGCCTCTTAAAATTCCTGAATTGTTATTTCCAAAAATTTACAACATTCTTTGGTAATGTGGGAATTAAAGCTGCAGTATGCAATTTAAAAGAAAAAAAGTGTGTGTATATATATATATATATATATATATATATATATATATATATATATATATATATATATATATATATATATATTTTTTTACATATTTGACAGATAATCTATGACAAGATCAATCTCCTCCACCTCTTCCCTGAACTACTATTGCCATTTGAAAAAAGAACAGCTTCTGACAAAAAAAACAACAACCAATCAGGGCCAGGAGGAGGGTCTTAGCGCTGTCAATCACCCTCATGTTTTTGATGTTCAACATGCCAATGGCGGAGAAACAGGTTACCGTTACAGGAAAATCGTTTATCTGACATCATCGGTGGTCATGCTAACTAGCTTGAGCGTTCACAACAAGCTCCGCTAGCTGCAATGCCGTAGAGCGCAAAAAGAGGATTAGCTGCGCCACACATGATTGTGATTGACAACACTAGCTTCTTGACTTTGACTTTGATTGATCTTCAAGTCACTGTAGTACTGGGAGAAGGCAGAGGATCTCAAATTTAAAAATACATATCTATGTCTCATATCATACAATCACAACATAGTAACAATTTCAATGAATATGTACAAAAAATATTTTTTTTTATAAACGTTACTGCAGCTTTAAAACCCCAGACAGTTTCTGTTCCTCCAGAGTGAAAGAAACTGGTTGAGGGGGTTTGATGTGTTGAAGTGATTATCTTATTGTTCCTTTTGTCATCAGGAAACAAACATGAGACGACAAGAAAGAGCAAGACTTGACTTGCCTGACAGTGTGGCAAAAACAGTTGATAATTTTTGCTTTTAGTTTGATGAAAGAGTGTTTCATTATGCATCCTTATACTAAAAGATGAGGACAAGAAGAACTCATTTGTAGCATTTGTTTTAATTATTTTTAAATGAAATGCTGTAATGAACAAGGCAGTCAGCTTGGCTAATTGTCATATACATATACTTTTATTCAGAGTAAATCTGAATTATTATTTTTGAACAGATTTCTTGCTTCCAGTAAATCAGAATACATAATTTGGGGATGAGAATCATATGAGCCAATAATCCAGACTAATTTACATTTTCCAGAAATCCACAATGTGGCAAAATACATATGGTAGGTTGTTGTGTAAGGTAAAAAGAGGTAGGGAGTAGTGCAGTTTATTAGATGTTAAGTTAACATTGAGTCAGAGACAGTTTGGCCAGGATGCAGGCTCACCACTCTGCTCTGCTCTGCTGGCCCCTCCACTGGAGTATCAATGCAGCAGCAGTGGGAACTCTTCCAAAACTGCAATAAGGGGAAAAAAATGCTTTTTGCTGCAGAAAGACAGAGTGCTGCAGCAGACCCGGCCAAACAGCTGCAGCATCTTGGTGGGGATGTCTGTTTGCACACAGATACAAGCAGACGAGCTACATTGTGTACAGATCCTATGTTCATGTGTTCCTCCTCATAATTCAGTGGTGCCAGGAAGACGCATCCTCAGCTTTAAAAAGAACATAGGCACCTCTGGGATTACTGCAGCAAGATGTGTGCTGCCTGCAGCATGAGGCAAGGACACACATATCAGGTGTTATTGTGCAGTAATGACGTCAAGTAAAAAAAAAAAAAAAAAAAAAAAAAAAAAGCAACTTAGCTGTTTATAGGGCCTTTAGAAAAATAAAAAAGCCAGTAGCCAGATATGAAAAACTAAACAATTAGAAATACTAGTTTGTTTTTTGTTTTTTTTTTCAAAAACAAATTTTTATATTTCAGTGTAAATGTCTAGTTTTTTCAAACAGCCCTCCGGTGATTCCATACTGTATTTTTGCAAGATGAGGTGATCCAGGACTGACCCCTCCATATTCTGACTGACTGTTCACAACATTATCCTTTGTTTATTTGTCTTTGAGAGGAAAGACAAAAAACTATGCATTGTTTTAAACAGAAAAGCAAAAAATAAAACAACTTTTAAATATTACTATTACACACTAATTAATATGAACAACATAATTTAGTTTTTCAGATTTTAGAAACACCTTCAATTGAGTCTCTGCTGCCATAGAAAAGTTTGTTGTCATATAAGACACACAGCTCCACCCAACAGGGAGTGTTCGCAACCAAAACGACTGGAAAAACTGACTCCACTGCTCAAAAGGGTATTTCTTTAATCAAATGTTGCGAAAGTACAAATACACAATTGACATTTCAGGACTTTGATGAAAAAACAAAAACAAAAAAACATTCACCTTATCAATACATACAAAACTATAAACACCACTGCTCTGGTAAAAAACCACATGTCATTTAACTGTAAAGCTAATTCAATGTGACTTTTTTGAGAAACTTTGTTTTTTTTTAATCAACATACAAAAAAAAAACATTTACATCACTCATCTAAGAGTGAGAATTTAAGAATATTAAATGTTGGGAGTTGCAGCAGCAGAAATATAGCAACACTGTTAAGGATTTGCTAGGATGGAGTCAAACTAAAAAGGTGATGTCCTTAAAAAATGTATAATAAAACCTAATTTGTTCTGCAATACAATTCATGTCCCTGCAAACAAGATCATTAATAAGAGAAAGAAACACAATTTTAAACACTTTTTTTAAAAAACGTTAGAGTATTAGTGTATAGTATATTTGAAAAAAGCGACAGGAGCTCTGTTGTTCTTGAAGAAGTTGTCTGCAATAGCAATGCACCAATCAAAGTTTTGTGTTCTCTGATTTGAGCTAAAATTTTGTAAAGCTGCAAAATTCTTTTGAATTTTTTCAACTGTGATGAAAGAATTTAAAATATTTTTCAAACTCAGTAGTCTGTAATTATAATCTGGGGTGTAGGAGGTTTTACACCATCAATTTAAGAAGACAGCCAGCATTTTTAAAACAACAAAATGATTATGGAGTTCAGCAATTAGTATAGTGAGCATTACTTACAGTAAACAAGAGTCAATGTGTTTAAAATGATGATCCTAAACAAACCACAAACAACTCTGGTGGAAACTACACTTCCTCTTAAAAACTTGCCATCGTTCAGCTCAAAGAAACTGAAAATAGCCAAGATTGAGTCTTCTTCCTTCATTAACAACTTCCACATTGAAAAGTGTTGCTAGCATGACTTGGTATTGCTCAGGGAGATCAAGGAGCGTTCACTGTCTGAAAAGGATTTGACATTCCAGTTTCTCAGCAGACAAGTCCAAACCTGTCAAGCTGCCGTGTTTGTTTGGTCATTGATGCCTGGTTCAAAAAAACGTTGGAGGAGGATGCAGTCTAAAAGAAGCAAAATTCGCTTGAGGCCAGCGGCACTCCAGCTGAAGTAAAGCTGGCTCACCAAAACTAAGTGTTTCCACAGAAAAAAAAAAGAAAAACATTTAACAAGACAGTATCTCTGGTTCTGTTGTACGCTTTTTCAATGCTTCTTCAAAAATGACGTAAACTACCAACAGTGAACTATGCAACACAAATATTTGAAGTTCTTCTACCAAAATAGGAATTTATCTAATCATCATCATCACCACCAAGATCGTCATCGTCGTCGTCATCATCATCATCCTCATCCTGAAGACCTTCTTCCTACTCATCCTCCCCGCTGCTTGGCTCAGACTCCTCATCATCTGAACTAACAGCTTCCTTCTTCGTTTTCAGAGCTGTCAGGTGAACTGGCGTAACCGCAGCCAAACATATTCAGTCGCAAATAAAAAAAAAGCAAACAAACACAAGCAGCTGGTGAGATGGGACGATCAGTGGATGATGCGGTAAATGAACACATGGGACATGTTCCCCCTCAGAGAGTATATCCATCGCCAACGTAACAAAAAAGGAGAAATACCAAAAGTGGTTACCTTGAGGTGAGGCAAGTCCAGAGAAGGAATGCAGTCCTATTCATTGTTCCCATGAGTGTGGATTTGGGAAATGCCTCACCTCAACTCAAAGAATGGAACAAATTGTGGAGCAAAGGTCATCAGCGTACCGGCCACATGTGGTAATATCCTTAGCGCATGAGGCTAAAGCCGTTAGCCTCATGCACTAAGGGTATTAGCACAAAAAAAAGAAAAGGAATTTGCCCCCCAAAAATTGAACGTCATCTTGTAAGTGTGAAAAAATAAAAAATACCTTTGCTTCTCAGTAAAAAACAATAACAAAGATAGTAAGCCTTAATTCACAGCAGCTGGATCTCTTTTATATTCCTGTTAAAGGAATATGAAATGTAAAAGGCACCCAGGTCGAAGGTATAAAGGTATAAATATTTTTTTTAAGTTCAAAAAACATAAAAAGGCCCATTTGTATGTCAGCACTGCTGTTGTGAATAAAGGTTAAAGTGAAGATCCACCCTGAGGACATGTATCCATATTTACATCCTCTATAATGTTTAAGAAAAACTTAAACGTTTTAAATCAAAAGAAACTTTTTGTGAAGTAGATAAAAATGTCCAGATTTTCATCTAAGCAACATATTACACAGCACATTATATCCCCAACACTACAGTGGCCTCAGGAACCTGAAGCAATATCTGACCCTAGAGGAGCAAATATGGCAGAAAAAAAAGGCCTTTCGTTAATTTCTTTCAGGAAAATGAAACCAAGCCCTTGGACTGACTCCATAGCAGTCCAGAGAAGAGGAGGCTGACAAGAGCTGTGGGTCTCTGGGGCCTCACCACATAGTTGACTGCTTGTTTCTGTACTCCTCCACCCGCATCTCAATGTCCTTTTCCTTATTACGCTTCTTGTACATCCTCACAGCAACGAAGACGCCAAGAAAGACCAGGATGACGACGCAGGAGCCTCCGACAATGGCCCCCAGCAAGCTGATCTCAGAGAGAGTTACTAGAAGCAAAACCACAGAGGCCTTAAGTCACAGTGCCTTGCAAAAGCATTTGCAACACTTTAACAATTTGTCACATTACAACTACTAACCTAAAGGTATTTTGTTGAGATATTTTGTCATAGGCGAAGGGAGCCAACCAACTTCAGTCCTCGAGAAGCGGTTTCCCGGATGTGTTAGCCGTTACCCTGCTTTGACACACCTCGATTAAATGCTTGACTCTTTACTAGGCAGCTGCAGAGCTTCTTGTAACATTGAGCGGGGAAAAAGCCCATTAACTTGTGTTGAAGCAGGGACACAACTAGGACATACAGGAAACATGAACTAGAGGCCTGGAGTTGGTCACAACCGTAGCAGACCAACACAAATCAATAAATAATTGTGAAACAGAAAGAAAAGAGTAATGAAGACGCATGCATAGTGTGGCCTCACCTTTGTCGACTACTCTTAGGACGGTTTCGCCAATATTGGCGTGGACATCTGGAGGGTTGGCCACCTGACAGAAGTAGGTGCCGTTAAACGCAGGGCGAACGTTATTCAAGGTGATTGAGGCGTCTTTTCTCTTTATGTCTCCGGACCACTGCACATGCCCGTTGAAGAGCCCTTCTTTGATGGGATATGGAACTTCCTGATAGTAAAGTATCTGCCAAAGACACACAAATGGTTAAAAACAAGTGCAAGAATCCAAAAAGAAAAAACAAGCATAGAAAGTAAAACTACGTAATTTTGACACAGAGAACACAAATATTCAAACCCCTAAGACTTAGTGTCTTAATGACTTGGTTCCAATGACAAATTGCCTTATAGAGAATAAAACGTTTATGAGGGTGCGTATTTATCTGTTGCAGAGAAGAAGCAGCTTTTTGTCTAAAGAGTGCATATTTAGTAAAAGGACTAGAATTCTTCATAGTGAACTAGAGGAGCCCAACTATATTTAATGTAGATTTATTCCACACATTTGTCCAAAATTAAAGAAAAAAAAGTCACATTTCTTCTCAAGGATGTGAGATGATGTGACGACGTGGGACTGTTTGTCTTCCAAAGGCCCTTTGAACCCTTCTAAACCTGAAAGTAAGCAATCATTTTGTCTTTCAGATTAAGAAACAAAACTTTTTCACTTGGTTACAAGAAATTATATGACTACACACAAATGTTGAGCCTTTAAAAAAACTTTTCCGTGTAATGTGTAACAACGTGAAACTGTGGTATTTTTCATGCCGTCCTGTTCTGTAATTTACAACCCTGACAGTTAATAAGGTCAGAATAAGGTTTACTAGTACTTATGTCAGTAAAATCAACTTTTTGGGGAAAAAAGACGAAGAAGCTTACTACTTACACGTTCATGTCTATTTGCAGTGATGGACCGGAAGTCCCATGATACTGAAGCTGTCTGAAGCGACACCGGTTGCGTGGAGCTGAAGGTACACGTGAGCTTCACACTCGTTCCATTGACGGCTTCCACCTCGCTTTTAGTGAAAATTTCTATTCCCCAAACATGCTGCACCCCTGAAAAAAAGACATCAAAAAGTTAGAAGATTCTGCAAATCATTCATCATAACGTTGCGGTCCGAAAAAAGGTGAAAAATGTTAAAAAGGCTTCATATTGATGGGCATTTGTGTGCAAGCTGCCACAAGTCCAACACAGAGATAAGCACCTGCGTCAAAGTCATTTAGGTACAGAAATTTGCTGACCCTGAGCCACAACTCAACATGTCGCTAAAAGGTAATTTTTCCTTTTCCACTGTTGCCAACATGCATGATCGTTATCAAAGATTCCTCCAAAAACAACGGCACAATTCAAGCAAGTGTCACCACATTCTCATCAAGGTGGAGTAAATCAGTGACTCATTGTAATTTGCTTGATTGAGTTAGAAAGAAAACCTTTAACCAATTTGTAATTTAATTGAAACTGACTGCACCATTTGAAATCTAGGATAAATTTGACATGCAGATACTTGACTTTGAATCTACTTGTAGGAATGGATTGACTTTATTTTGCAAAGTGTGTTGACATAGCATGTGTTGCTTCTTCTCTACATGAACAAGGTGAACTGAACTGAATTAAAACCAGTACCACGTATAGTTATGAAAACTCAGTAGATTTGAACTGCAGTATAATAAATAACACGCTACTTTCCATTGGAGTTACATGGCCTATATTAGTATTGTTATTTTGTCTGATTTAATTCAGTCACTAAAGGCTCTCAGGATCCTGCATCATCTGTTTTTTGTCCTAAAACAGCAACAAATATTATTTTTTCTCAACAGGAGTTTCAACAAATACACGTTTTGATACATTTAACTACGGTCAGCTGAATGTTTTAGTGTGGCGCAGTTTGCTGAAGTGCTAAGCTAAAGCTACTATGTTTAATCTCAGTTTTGATATGACTTGTTGTTAATTCGGCTTGCAACATATTTCAGAGAAGTTCCCTGTGGGTCTGGATAAAGAGCTCCAACTTTTGGAATCGGAGCAGGACATCTCTAATCGAAACTTCCTATAAAATAAGATACTATTGTGAAGAAAATGGTAGAAGTAAACAGATTTTTTTTTCTTCATGATGCAGAAAGTTAAAGGTGATGGATGACATACGCTTGAGATTTTTTGAAAGGATCGAGACAAATGTTGAAGGAGTGGATTTTTTTTTTTACAAACATGGAGACTGCAAAGAGACAGCACAGACAGACAGTGGTCTGGCAGCAGATTAGATAAGCAAAGTAACTACGCTGTCGTTATTGCAGGAGACAGTTCAGAAGATACAACTTGACATTCTCAGCTTGAGAATGTATGAAAAATGCAAATTTTTTAAAAAAAATCAGATACCACTATTTTTTAAAATGCCATTTTATTTTACTTTGGAGATTGAATTACAAAAAACTCATATAACAAATTTTGAGAATAATGTTGAAATGGTGGCAGCTTAAAGTTGATAAGAACGGCCCTAATTTATAGAGAAAAAGTTTTTTAACTTTCACACAATACAACAGCATTGTTGTTTTCTGGGACAAAATACTACCTGAAGCAATTTATTTTCTTGGTCTTCAGGATGTTAAAAACATTTTTATGTTCGATTAAGCCAAGCAAACAAAAGCTGGAGATTAAACTTCACTGTTACGCACCACTTTCCAATCCTTCTATTGCGACAAATCTCATTGCAATTAAACCCACATGCTTAAAATGTGACGGCATTTTCTTGACAACACAGCTAAACGCAGACGCCCCTTCTGCCTGAATAACCTGATTTTCCACTTTTAGGTATCTGTCCTCTTTTTGTTTGAAAAACGGTTATTTATTTTAGTGTCACTTGGCAAGAGTTTACCTACTTCACACAAATGTAATATTAAAGCTGAATCTGGACACTGCAGCAATACTGAGGAGGTTTTAGACAGCTAAAAAGCCCTCAAATTTTCAAATAAATGAAAGATTTATTTAATGCATCAAAATTAACAAAATTAACCTGCTATTAACCAATAGCAGGTTCTCTGATGTGTATGTGAGTGTAATTTAAAGGATAATTATTAGAGACCTGCTTCAATGCATAAATAGGGATAATGTTATAATTCTTTCATTTTCTGTTCGATTGAAAATTGCTTATTCTGCTGTATAATTTTTTTATTTCGTAAGTTTTTTTCTATAAAAAAGTGTAAAGAAAAAGTGAAATGCAGAAATCTGTATTTACTAAGAAAATCGTGATTGGTGCGTCTCTAATGTACAGCAGTTTGGACAAATGTTATAGCACAAATGTCTCTTCTCTTTAATCTAACTTTTGTTAGATGAAGACCTTTATATGTTTTTTAATCAAATAAAAATTTGTCAAGAAGCCATGACCAATGTGCAGAACATCTACAGATCCTACCTTTTTTATCCACTTTATGCGTGTCATTTTTGTATTATGAATATCACAAAACTATTATTCCTTGGTTCCATTCTACAGTAATTCTGGTCATTTCGATTCCTGCGGTGTAGCAGCAGAGATTTGTTACAAAACAAACGCTGTGTTAGTCTCACAAAAGAGGAACTACATTGCATAAATGTATAACATCTTGCTTAGCAAAGCAGCAATAAATGAAGTCGACGAATAAGCAGAATCAGAAATAGAAATGAAAACTATAAAAGCATTCCCCAAAGCCAGTAAAACATTTGACTAAAACAAAGTGACCTCTGCGTCCAAGGCTTTAAAGTGCTATAACGCTGACAAGCGAGTGCAGTAGATTTTTAGATTCTTAAAACTACAGACTTCAAACACTGCAGCAGGTCTTACTACTGGGTTAGAGATGCAGCTTTTCAGAAAATAAATTCAGTCATAAAGAAAAATAAAACACTAAATTTATCCAGTCGACTGCAGAAACTCATTCCTGCAGAGACTGGTCTGCAAGTCCCAATCATACAACTTGACAAAGAACAGCTAATCAAAGGCTTCTTTTATTTAAGAGGGATTGCTTTTAAAGGCTAAAACTACCCACACACAGGTTTCTCTAAAGAAACTAAAACTGTGCAGCACAATTTTGGCCACAGCTGTGGCTGAATATAATTTCACTCCATTATCAAAGCACAAAAACCATCAAACTCCCAACACAAGAGAACAATGCAGACAAGTGTCGTCTTGTCTGCTGGTTTCCATTACTTCCCTTTTTCCTTTTCACTAACATCATTTGATCAAAATTATTTCAGAACATAAAGTAATATCTGAATGGAACGAACACTAATGTGACCTTTAGGTATATGGAGAGCTGAAAAAAAAGAAAATCATACAGCAACACTTTCTCACCGTGAATTACTTTGTTAAAAAATAAAACATACTCAAAAAAAAAAAAAAGAGAACAATCAGAACATCATGCAACATCAAGAAGATGACAAATCCAAACTTCAAAGATGCCAGCGGTCAGGCTGAGAGTCGCACTAACGTAGCCGTTATCACGTCTGTAGGATGAAAAGCATTCCTTTCATGTAGAGGATGACCTTCTAATTAAAGCCACACTCAGATGCAAGTTTTCACAAAGTTTTCATAAAGGTATAAAGCAGCAAAACTTTTAAGATCAAAAAAAGTTTCTTCAACCGGCCTAGTTTTTTCTTCTTTTTTATGCCAGCGATGGAGATTCTGATGGCTCAACCAAAACATATAGCAACAGTTTGGATTTCTGACCAAAAACACCCTCTGACATAAAATGCATGCATACTGTATAATATTAGTTATTACAGGTGTAATACCCACCTACACACCAAGCGGAGGTCAACATTGGAGAACTGTGTTAAATCATTAAACAAAGTTTTGGTTATCTGTGGATACCAGAAGCAGCTGGCTCGATAAAAACAAGGACAACGCTGGCTGTGCGATTAGCATGTTCAGGTTTATGAATGTTGCAATGATTTAATCCACAGTGAACAAGTATTACTTGTTTGGAGTGGCTGCCTTTACGTTTCATAGAAAAATAAAAATACCACAGTGGTGTTACCTAGACTTGTAAATCTTCATTTAAACAGACCAAAGTGGAGACGTTTAGCTCTAAAACTCACACGCAGCATGGTGGTGAAAAGACGATGTTTTTTTCTTGTTATTTCAACCAAAGGGGACCTTGCAGTCACTGACGGAGAAGATAAGGCATTCTAGACTCAAATGTGAAGTGTGATATCTAACACAAGCAATGGCGAGTCACCTTACAGAGTAAAAAAGAACGGGTAAAATTTCCAGTGCTGCCGTTTCTCATCTTAATAAAACACAAGAGAAAGAGTTTAAGTGTTCAGAACTTCCTTTTACTTGGAGCATAAAGTAACATAGAAGTGCCTTCTGGCTCCTGCTGCTGAGCATTGCAAAGGAAAAAGTTTGCGACTACTCAAAATGACTCTGAATTAGTTGAAACTTTAGCATTACACAAGTAAATTAGAAAATGATTAAACGCGTTTTCCACAGGTTTTGAAAGGATTTTGAAACCCGGTGTAATAAATAAGTACAATTGCAAAGACCTTGTGTTATGCATTTTCAATGGGAGTCAATGGTATAAACACATTCTGAAGTCACATTCAATGCTCTATTCGGTTTAATTAATTTTTATTATTATTATTATTATTTTTCATTTCATGCCACTTGCACAAACACAGACGCATTTATGCCAATAAACAAATTTAACAAATAAAAATTGGCCCAGAGGAGGAGCTGGTCTAAAGGTTAGCGATTCACATGATAATGAAAGGTCGGTACAGATCTCCAAACAACCTTTCCCTCTTTCAAAATTACAACTTAAATCTATGAAACTCGCAAAGAAACACTCTTATTAATAACTGGCTAGCCAGTTATTGAAGCCCATGGGAACATAAGGGAGCGTTCCCTTTGACACAGAGGAAAAGAAACACAGCGACCAACGTCCAGGAAGTTGCTCAAACTCACCTTGTATCACGAATCCTCCCAGAAAAACAAGGAGCCATAACCGATCCATGAGATAAAGTATGTATATTCCCTCAGATCCTGCTGTAATAGTCCTCTATCGGATGTATGGCGAAGGAAGACATGTACTCTAACGACCTCTCTCTGGGAGCTCAAATCACAAGAGAATAAAAGTGACTCATGCGCACACACCTGAGGGGCGTAACCTGTTGCGTAAGCACGCCTGCACAAACTGCCACCTTTAAAAACAGCCTGGATATAAAGAACATTTGATTTGCGTCAAACTAAGGAACTCAAATAATTTAGCGTATGCCATCTAGTGGTCACTAACTAATAAAACGTTTGTTTATTAAATGCTGGCTTGTTTGAGGAAAATTTGATGCTAATCCAGATGTGTCTTATGATTCATCAACAATTTTAGCTCCTGTATCCCTTTGACAATATTTAGACCCTTTGCAGGTTTTCATATAATGTCAAAGTAAAACCACAAACCTCCCTGATTAATACTTTTCAGAACCTGGGACGTCCAAGTTTAGGATTTAGTAGTGGGATGCTCGTTCCCTTTTATGTAACATCCAAAGCTTATGGTATTGTTTTATAACGCAATCCTGCTTTAAGTTTCTCCACGACTTTAATCCAGACCTGTCTGTTGTGCTGTTTGGACTGCATGGTGCGGTTTGCTTACTGATAACTTCAACAAACAGGTTGGAGTTGAAATAAACTAATTCATAATTAGGAAAGGGACTATTTATTAATCAGACGACAGTCCATGTGAGCATCCTCCTCCTGCTGCAGCGGATGTTATTGTCTCAGATGGATAGAAACTCCTTCCAGTGCTTTTTCCAGCTGCCTTTACCATAGACATAATATAAGAGTAGACCCCCGCATTGGCTGCTCCAGGCAGGAAATACGGCGGCCATCTTGGAGCGGTATACCCTCCTACTTAGCTCAATCAAAACAGCGGAAGATGCCTCAGAACTGAGGGATATTGTTGTTCTGATCGATGGATTATTGATG